TACTCAGTAATGCAATAATTCAAAATAGGAAAAAATATATTCTCTGCATATTTAAAACTTCATAGTTCTTTAATGCTTATACTCTAATAGCATCAAAGCTTCATAAAACTCTTACTATAATGAACAAGACTCTAAGAATAATTAAAAATAATAATTTAAGCTAGCAGACTACTAAGATCAATCAAAACATCTTATAAATCAATGAGCTAGTAGACTTAGATATTAATTCAGTTAATAATGCTGACATTACTAACAATATCTTATTAATATTATATAATCTTAAAACATACAAGAAAGCTCTATACACAACCAGATGAATTGAAAATAACACTGCTCTAAGAGACAAGATACAAGGGTATATTCAAAACAGATATAACAATTTTAAAGCTAGTATGACCAAAATGATAAATAGTATCCTACATAGGCATACAGACTACATACAGTTCTAAAATATAGTAACATCAGAAGAAATTATCACAGACCCTCATCTATTCAAACAAATATTAGAAACTACTTTGAAAGCTGAATATGTCTTAATCTATACAACAATCAACTTTGAGCAGATTGGTAGGAAGAGTATAAGCCAAAAGATTATATACTTTCTATATAGTATAACACAATACAACAGGATATATTATTCACAGAGCTAAAAAATTGTATAGCAACTGCATCCAACAAAAAAGCAACAGGCTCATAATTAATATCTAACGAGATGCTAAAACACCTAGATGATTATATACTTAAGTTTTTTCTGAATATATTTAATGCATGCCTAAAATTAGAAGATATCTCTAGTGTCTGAAAACATAATCTGATATACTCAATATTAAAGAAACTAGTCTTCACAGATCAACTAAACTATACTCGACCAATCTTACTTATCAAATATAGAAAAAAGATTTTTACCAAAATTATTACAACAAGACTTAGCAAGATCTGCTTATTATTATCAATCCTCAACAGCTCTAATTTTGTTGCACTATCTGGAAACTCAATAATGTCTCCAATTACACTCCTCTTATATTTAATAGAGGATACACAAGTTCATAACAAAGAGCTTTGAATACTTGCACACTTTGAGCTAAAAAACCACTTAGAAAACGTATACTTAGAGAGAAAACTAGTATAAAACTGGAGCATTTGATATTTTATTATACTGTATATGCATCAAGTTTGTAATTTCGGTCATCAAAAGGCGTAGAAGTATGAATCCTTCACTTCACTCCGGACAGTAAATCTGCCACAATCATTACGACATTTTAAATGATAGAAACTATAAGAACGTAAAATTATCATGTGTTCAAGTTACAATTACATAAAATTTGAGTTACTGAAACTTACTCAAAAATTTTCCAACTCAACATGTATAATATATACCTTAATTAATTCAATAAAAAAAAAAAAATGATTTCGAAAATTTATCTACTAAAGTTGTGGAGTGAGGCAGCTTCGCAATATTTCATTAATCAATCAAATCTATCGTTACATAATAAACTTTTGTTGTATAGTGTGCAATCAAATAAATTAATTAAATTCTTAAAGACTATCGCATTTATAATTAAAGTCAAACAATTAATAAGGTTTGTGCCTCCACGATCGATTGCGATCACTACGAGAATGCGTGCTCTCCCGTTCAAATACTTTATGTGCCGCACTAGTAGCTTCTGGATTGAATTGGGAAAAATAACGACCTTTTGTTTCTTGATCATTTATTATGTGGGGATTGAGAAGTTTAAGAGTACGTAACTTTTCGTCACGTTCCCTCTTAAGTCGTTCCTCACGTAATTTGTCAATTGTTGATAAGTGAAGTGAATCAGATTGAATTTCCTTCATTTCCTTAAATATAGGAAAATGTGAATTAATAAATTTTTCTAATATGATATTTCATATAAAATTCGAATTAATTACCTTTTGTCGTTGATGATCATGCGCTGTATCATTTTTCTTTTTCTTATGCACTGTATCAATTTTCTTTGTCTTTGATTTTTTATCTAAACTTATTTTCATCATACGCAATGGATCATCTGCAGATGTAATTATTTCTTTGTTTCTAGGAGCAATAAATTTGAGTTCTGAAACTTTATATGAGCATTTCACACAATTTAGCCCGATTATAATACCTTTTAATCTTTCCATCTATAGAATATTTTTCCCCTTTGTCATTGCCACCATTGCCACTATTACCATAGTTTTTCTTAAGGTACCATGGTTTTGGATCTAACATTTGAAAGAAAAGTCAGTGTAATGAAATAATAATTTCTTTTTTTTTTTTTTTTAGAAAAAAAAAAAACCAAACTATTAATTTATGTACCTTTTAAAACTTCATCGAGATACATCGTATACTGCCTCTCCAATTTTTGCTCTTTTGCCTTTTTTTCAGCCTCATATTCTGGGTTGGTTGTGACAGTACGAGCATATTCCTTTTAAAATTATCGGAATATTTTTAATTTTTTGACGCTATGAAATGTTTTACGGATCATAATAATAAATAACATACAAAATGACACTTAATACCTTTTCTATGTCACTCCAGAAATTTATATGACCACCAACGAAGTCTGCCGAACTTTGTATTGCTAGCTTTTGACTTGTCGTTACCAATTGACCAGTAGCTTGCTCTTTAGGTATTTCCGTTAATAATCCTTGTTGCTTTGCGCGAGCATTTTCTCGAAGAATTTGAAGACGACGCTCACGTTCCTATAAAAGAAGTGTTTTTTTTTTATACTTGTACTATTATATGTTATTTTGAGGTTAGTTCACTTACCGAAATCTCTTTCCTTTGAGTC